TGGATAATTGCCCGTTGCAAACAGAGGCATCAATATTCCAGTAGGTTGACCTGTGGTCTACCTGTCATATTAATGTGATTGGGTAAAAATAGATTTTATCATTTGGTAAGAGATGGGTCAGTTGAGGCGGTTTTTAGAGAAAACTGGTGGAAAACAAAGATAGGTAAAGAAAACAGGGAGACTGGGAGAGTGAGGGGAAACGTAAATAGGAGATGCTTTATTTTGAATTTATAAATAAAGTTTGACGAAGGAAGACAACAGGACCTTACATCTTTTTTAAATTTATATAAATAGGAGGTGCTTTATTTTTTAAGTTGGAGAGAGCATGGAAAAGTGAAAAGAATCTCACCAACTGCTGACGTTGGTCTCATCAGTAGTCTTGTGTCTCATCATTGGTGTCGTTACGTGTTAATTTAGTGATGACTGAAAAACTTTGCCACATGTTACCGTTAATTAAAATAGTATTGATTTAGTTGTGTCAGCTTTTGCAACTGACAACGCAATTTGAATTTCTAGTGGTTTGGATATATGCACCCTTTGTTTAGTTGGTGCAGAGAGCGGGGTAATAGAACTTCAATCTTTTGAAAAAGCTTTGCCTTATCTTCTAAACAAACTCCTACATTGAACATAAACTCTCTAATTGGCCACAAACTGAACCATTACTCAAATGACACGGGTCTTCAGGTGAGGAGTGACTTATACTTGTCAACCATCTGCCAAGCTAGACTCACAAAATGTTGGCCTCTCAAGTCTCAACTATGTTTTTTTTGGGTAATGCATACATATTATCAGTACCAAAAGTTTCCTCCTAACTTTGTCCTGTTTTTGCATGTGTAGTGTTGGCACTCAGATCCCATCCAAACAAACGTCACCTCTCTAGATCTAATCCCCACTTTCCGTTGTGGCCCCTAGGGCCCCTGTTTGTTCACCAACTCTGACCAACAATAACAGTAATGAATCTATAGTAGTGCTAGCTGATCCTCTAAAATATTAGGTGTGTTATGAATGATGTTCTGTTGTTTTACCATAACCCACTGCTTCGGCTCCCAGAGGCACTGCCTGGAAGTGGAGCCATCGCGGAGCACCGCAGATCTTCAGGCCAGCAGTTTACAGTTGTGTGACCTACTGTTTCATATGATGAAGTTGATTGTGATGATGAATGCTGCATCATAGATAGTTTAATGATTCTATCAGAGTCATCAAGTCCATTAGTGACTTCACTGATTTGTTAAGGTGGTAGATAGCTTGTCGCTGTCCAAACATATATATGTGCGCATAGTTTTTTTGCTTACAATTCATATCCAGTTTTTTCTTTTTTGTACTCATCTTGTATTATCTTACCGAAAATTAGATTTTGGACAGATAACCATTCAGGCATATACAACAAAGAAGATCGCTATAATGGCTAGATCTAGTAGTTGATGCCGTTGACTACCAACCATTGCATTAAGCCTAAGTTTTTCGTTTGCTTTCCAAATGAGAAAAGTTTAGACGAAGATGAAGAAAAATATATCATGAAGTTCCATCGTTTCCCTAAGTGACACCGACTACATTAGTTCTATTGACCCAACTATACTTGTGTGTGTTAGTTTAAAAAAAAAAGAAAAAAAAAACTATGCTTGTGTGCTTCATCCTGGTGGCCAATTATAAGCCACCAGGAACCATAAACCCATGGTGCCTAGTCCATTCTCATAAAAGAAATAAAGAAAGAGGGAAACATCAGATGAAATTAAGGACATGTTCTAGAAATTAATTTGCTCATTCGTTGCTGCGTAATTTTACTTACTAAATCGCTTTGCTGTCCATGCATGCCAGGCAAGTTTTGGCTGGAGAGGTTCAGGGATGCATGGGAGTCTTGCTCCCACAAGAAGGCGGTTGTCGCAGCCGTCTTCACCCTCGTCTGGAACGTCTCCTCCACGGTGGCCCGTGTCTGGGCTGGTAATCTCTTCTACCTTCTACCCGTGTGCATCTGCATCGCATGGCATCTTTGACAAGAACGTTAACCATGTATGTTTGACATGTTTGTGCAGTGTTCATGCTGGTGGTGGCCATGAAGTGCTACCAGCAGCGCATGATGGAGTTCGGCTGGAGCAGCTCGGTGGAGGAGCCCGCTGAGAACGATGAGCAGCAACAGCAGCAGGAGGAGTCTCCCGCTAAACCTGCCCAGACAGAGAAGGCACACGATCAAGGGTCACATGGCTTCGTGGCGGCGCGGCACCGGCGAATGCCGGTCTCCGGCGACTTCGCCAGGGAGAGGCTGAGGGCGAGAGGCGGCATCCAGCCAAGGTGTTAGTTTGTGTACACCGGACCTTGTTGTGTGGGTGTTCTCGTAATGTTGATGAATTCGGTAGTGGCAAAAGCAATAATAAGATCGACCATGAAATAGCAATCACATCTATGGATCGTGATATAGTATGATGAAACAGTAGGTTTTTAGGGAACCACCAAACATTCTAGTCATTTGTTTCATGCGTGCGCTACAGGCAAGGGAGTCCGATGTCAGCCTAGATTCTTTCTCGTTTTGAAAATTCAAAATGTTCTGTAGTATCTCGAATTGTCGGTGCGATTAAAAATGCCTTCTCACCATTAAATTAAATTCATCGCAATGAGATTTTCCAATGACCTTTTTTGTTAAAAATTATCAAAAGGTTTAATGGAACATACTAATGGTAGGCCCCTCAAATTGTTGAGGAAACGTTAGAGGGTGCTTGGATACGTTTTAGTCTCATGACTAAAAGTAGTGGGACTAAAACTTGCTAGCCTCACCCATGCTTGGATCCAATACTAAAGAGACTAAAATGAAGTTATTGAGCATTTATTATCCTCCAAACCATCCAATCCAGAACTCGCATGTGCTAAAGGAGAGGAATTAAATGAGGAGAGAGAGGGCTAATACATATTTTAGTAGGTTTCATGTGACTAAAAAGTTTTAGCCTCAAGACTAGTTCTAGCCTCTCTTTAGTCAGGGGTGCTTGGAACTTTAGCCTCTAAAAGAGACTATTTTTAGTCAGACTAAAAATAGTCCCTTGAATCCAAGCAGGCCCTTAGACTTCTGATGCATTCCTCCTAGCCTGGATTTTCACTACATTTTTTTGGATCAATGCCTACTTCTTGAACTTGAAATATCTGATCCCTTCTTCAATAAGTGGAATGTTTCGCTTGAGCATCTACTTTGGCGCAAAAAGGCTAGGACGCGGGCTCTTGCAGAGGAAAGCCCAACTAATGTCAGATGCAAAGCCCCGCACCTTATTAAGATCATATTGACATACTCCCCTAAAAAAATCTATAGAGTTTTCCGAAAGTGTGAGCTGAAATTCTAGGGTACTCGCACTTTTAAGGTATGGTTTACTACATTCGTTGATATTACTCCTTCCAGCTGGCTATTATCTCGCAGAATGCTACTCCCTCCGTCCGAAAAAACTTGTCCCAACCTTGTGTCTTAAATGGATGTATCAACACTAACTTGGTGCTAGGTGCATCCATTTGAGGGACAAACTTTTTCGGACGGAGAGAGTATTAACGTTGGGGAAAGCACAGCTCTCAACTCACGCGAAGGATGATAGGTAAAATCATTAGTACTTAACAGAGCGGTATCTAACCAAAAAGGGACACTTATTACAACTTTGTATTAGTACAAAGTTAGGACATTTATTTTGGAATGGAGGGAGTACATTGGAGGACATGGTTTAGAAAATTGAATCGGCGAGGCTGCCGGTTTAGGTTTTTATTGATCGGACCACCGGTTCATTTTCAACAAAAACCAAAATATTTAAGGCAATCATATCAAATGAATACATGTAATATTGGATGCAAACCATTAATAAATCACAAAATGTTGTTGGCCTAGTTGGTTGGCTGCCTTGCCTCAAGGTTAACTGTTAAATTCCTTGTTTATGTATTCATTTTTGAATACTTCTCTGGTTTTCAACTAAAAGACCAGTACACGTTAAAATACCAGGCAAGGTTAACTGTTAAATTTCTTGTTTATAGATTCTACTTTGAATACTTTTCTGGTTTTTTACTAAAAGACCAGTACACGTTAAAAAACTGGGCAAGGCGCCGGTTCCTCGGTCCAGTCCGGTCTTTAAAAGTATGATCTCCGTTCTCATTTTTATTTGAAGTCTCAACACATTTGGAGTGTTACTGTAGAGTACTAGACTTTCTTCAAGAGCCTCTTAAGTTGTAGCCAAAAAGATATCTCCGTCAGCTCCTAACCCTCGCTCTCAAGCTCCCATGAGGTTCTGGTCTGCCAGTCAAAGACAAATCTGCCGTTTGAGACACGTTGCCCGTCTCGATGAGGACATTAACGTCTCGATGAGGACATTAACGCATCACTCAAGTCACTAATCTATCAGATAAGATTATCCTGGAGCAAAAGTCCATAAATCTTAAATGAATTATAAGGTGCAAAATGCCGGGGTCAAGATGTCATGAGTACTTAGGCCGTGTTCGGACTCCCTCCGCTCCGCGGCTCCGCGCCGGAGCGGAGTGGCTTGCTAGGTATAATCTGCAGAGCTGCTAAAAGGACGCTCCGCGGAGAGCGGCTGAACAGGCGCTTAACATCAGTCCCAGTCTCTCCGAGTGCAAAGACTAATCCACACTGCTGGTATCATCATACTAGGCCGCAGTCCAAATTATAAATCCTCTGAAGGCCTGAAGCTGAAATTTGCTGGCGCTATCAAATAACAACTCCAGTTACCCTCTAAAGCTGTAAGACTGATGATGTAAGTTCAGTAAGAATACAGTTTCCTTGAGACATGACTGAAGGCATCAGAGAGCTTGATGAGCCAACCTGTAATAAGCCATGGGATGCCATATATACAGGGTTTACTTTACAAGGTCATCCTAGCCTCCTAATTTTGCTCAACAAAGACAAAACCATGAAACGTCGCCTCAGACCATACGATAACAGTAGGGCATGGCGACGGGATAGGCGATATCATGTCACATATGATATCGAATCCTTTTTTTTTCTTTTGAAGATTGTTCGCTGCTTGTGCTTAGCTACAGAGAACTGGTACGCAGGCACCATCCGGGGTCTGCGTCTCCTTCCAGATCCGGCCGGTGATCCTTAGCTTCAGCTCCTTCCGGTCGCCGCCCGAGAAGAACAATGCCATGTTCCTCTGGATTAGGAGACCATCGTGGCTGTCACGCACCTTCCGGTGGCTGTCCCGGACGCTCCTGGGGGTGCCCTCCCATACCATCTTCCTGCCATTGGCGCCGACCTCAAGGCTGTAACTGTAGTTCCGCGCCTCATTCTCGTCCCCCATGAAACGCAGGAAGGCCATGTACACTGGTGCCATCCCAAGCTGGAAGGCCTCAAAGTGCAGGCAGAAGTACTGCCCGAAACAGTGAAACACCTGCTCAAAACATACCAAACAAATGCATCAAAAAGAGTAGATTTGAAATGTATATACAAGGTTACATTACTCGTCGTATTAAGAACTACTCTGTATGAGGGCTGATCTTATATCCAGGTGTATTGCACTAAAGCTGGACAAGAGAAAACATTCTTGCTATAAATACTTACCGTTAGCATCCAGGTGGCATTTTCGACTTCTCTTGGGTTGGATTTGACGTATCTATGGTTGAATGTGCAACCGCTGTGCATATCAACTTTGTGGTCATCCCTCAAATGGTTAACAAGGTAAGGAATATCACCAGTCACAGAACACTCAGAACCAGCGTAGGGGCAACTGTATGGTCTAAAGCTGCACATCGCTTCATGCTTTATCTTGCTGTAGTATGGGAAGATCTCTGGGCAACCCAAGGAATAGTGCTTACAGGGAAGCTCAAGCGATTCGGCTACTTTCTCCAGTGCCAAACACCTGATATCACCGAGCTCTTGTCGGCAAGTAGGGCAACGATTGTGTACCCTAGCTTTGCATGTGGAACACAGAGTATGTCCATTTTGGCACTGTAAATGCAGTCGCAGAGATTAGAGTCATGCCAAAAACCAGCACTACATAGGACATGTGATTCTTCAGTTCCACACAATTACATCCCTCCAACACACAGCTATATCTGATATTACCAATAATCTTCCCCATGTTTATTTTGATAACCACATATGTGATCCCAAATTGCTTACATGTATTCACTGTTGTACAGTACTTGCTTAAGGATCAAGATATCAATACTAGCATGAAAATCTTCCCTTTGCATGGCTACATACTACAATACATATGTTGATGGTTGAAACCAGAGTTAGATTTGCTAC